TCTCACCGTTGTGGCCTCTCCCATTGTGGAGCACTGGCTCCGGACGCGCAGGCTCAGCAGCCATGGCTCCCGGGGCCCAGCCGCTCCGCGGCATGTGGGATCTTCCCGGACCGGGGCACGAACCCGTGTCCACCGCATCAGCAGGCGGACTCTCAACCACTGCGCCACCAGGGAAGCCCTCTATTTGTCATCTTTGATTCATTAAAAATATTTTCTTTTCCCTTGAGTGTTCTATTTGACTATTGGATTTTTTTGACTAATGGATTATTGAGACTTGTTTCATATTCAAGTGTCTGGAGATTTTTCTGTTACTCTGTTGTTATCTAGTCTAATTCTGTTATGGTCAGAGAACTTGGTATGATTTTAATTCTTTTAACTCTGTAAAGGTTTTTTTTTTTTAATAAATAAATAAATTTATTTATTTATTTATTTTGGCTGCATTGGGTCTTCGTTGCTGCACGCGGGCTTTCTCTAGTTGTGGCGAGCGGGGGCTGCTCTTTGTTGTGGTGCGTGGGCTTCTCATTGCGGTGGCTTCTCTTGTTGTGGAGCATGGGCTCTAGGTGCACGGGCTTCAGTAGTTGTGGCACACAGGCTCAGTAGTTGTGGCTTATGGGCTCTAGAGCACAGGCTCAGTGGTTGTGGCGCATGGGCTTAGTTGTTCCGTGGCATGTGGGATCTTCCAGGACCAGAGCTTGAACCCATGTCCCCTGAATTGGAAGGCAGATTCTTAACCACTGCACCACCAGGGAAGTCCTTAACTTTGTAAAGGTTTTTAACCCACATGCCTATGAAAAGAATGTGGATTCTGCTATTCTTGGAGTTTTCTGTTAATGTCAGTGAGATCCATTTGATAGATTGTTCAGTTTTTCTATATTCTTACTGATTTTTCGGTCTACTAGTTTTATTGTAAGAGGAGAGTTGAAGTCTCCAGCTACAGTTGTGGATTTGTCTTTTTCTCCTTTCATGTATTTTGAAGGTTTGCTGTTAAGTAGCTAAGTATCTAGGATTGTTACATTTTTGGGCATATATACTTTTTATTTTTCCATAATGTTCCTCTTTATCCCTGGGAATCCTCTTTGCTCAGAAGTCTACTTTCTCTGATATTAACATAAAGCCACTCTAGCTTTCTTTTGATTAGTGTTTGTATGGTATGTCTTTCTCCATCCTTTTACTTTTAACCTGAGTTTATCATATTTGAAGTACATTTTCTGTAGACAGCATAAAATTACATTTAGACCTACAATCTTATTGTTAACTGTTCGCTCTGTTTTTCCTTCCTACTTTTCCTCTTTTTTGCATTCTTCTGGGTTATTTGGACATTTTTTAGTATTGTTTTTAATTTATTGTCATTTCAACTATCAGTTTTTTTAGTGGTTGCTCGAGGGCAGTAGTTCTCATTGGGGGTTGTGGTGGTGGTGATTTTGTCCCCCAGGGCACATTTGGCAGTATCTGGAGACTTCTTTGGTTGTTACAGCTGGGGGGTTGGGGGGGGTGCTACAAGCATCTAGTGGGTAGAAGCCAGGATTCTGATAAGTATCCTACAGTGTACAGAACAGTAGCACTCCAACAAAGAATTATCTGGCCCGAATTAATAGTGTTAAAACTGAGAAACTCTTTTCTAGATACCATAATGTATTGCCTTGCACTAGAGCTAGAGCTGGGTTTCAACACAGCCCAAAACTTCCAGGTTTTGGGCTGTGTTGAAACCAAACTTGGGGGGCTGCCAGAGAGGAAAATAATGGTAAACTCACCACTAGTTCAGTGATACTTCAAATTCCTGTCTTCTTCCTCCTGCCACTTTTCATTTTTCAGAGTCCTCAGGTAGTTGCCCATGCATTATGTTCATTTTACGGCTGTCTTCAACAGGAGAGATAGAATGGCATGTACCTAGTCTGTCTTGTCCAGTTTTTCTATTGGGCGTCATATCTTTTCTTTTTGAATTTCAGGAGTTCATCATTTATTATAGATTTTAACCCCTAGTCTGTTTATAACATTTTAAATAACTCCTACTTTTCTTATCTCTCTGCTAACTCTGTCTTTAGTGTCTATAGTTGAGCAGCAAACCCTTATTTTGTTGTTGTTGCTGATTTACAATGCTGTGTTAATTTCTACTATACAGCAGTGATTCCGTTTTACATATATATACATTGTTTTTCATATTCTTTTGCATTATGGTGTATCACAGGATATTGAATATAGTTCCCTGTGCTATACAGTAGGATCTTGTTGTTTATGAAAACGTTAATTTTAATGTAATGATATCCATTGGTTTGTTTTGGCCTTGTGTTTTCTTTTTTGGGAATTTGCTTAAGAAATCATTCCTCACCTAAGGTCTTGGAGTCTCCTACATTTTTTTTTTCTATTATTTTAGACTTTAACCTTTCCCATTTGAGTCGTCTGTCCTCATGGAGTTCACTTTATATATACTAAGTGATATGAACCCAACTTTCTCTAGATAGTGGGTCAGTTTTTCCAGTGTCATTCACAAAAAAACTATTTTCCTCAATGATTTATCAAAGCATTTATCAAACCAAGTTCCCATATATATGTGATGTAGTCTGTTCTTAAATCAGTTTCACATTTTTTTACTCTTATGGCTTTGTAGTATATCTTAAATATATGTGGTAGAGTGAATCTCCAATCTTCGTTCTTTTCACATTTTTAAGCTCTTTATGGATCTTCATTCTTCGATAACAGTTTTAGAATGAGTTTGTCAAAATGCTAGAATTTTAGTTGGAATTGCATTAAATACATAATTTGTAGATAATTGAATCTTAATAATATTAAACTGTTCCATCATGAACATGTTGTTTCTTTACTCATTGAGGTCTCTTGTGTCCTTTGTAACAGTTTTTAAAATAACCTCTTTAAAAATCATAGGTATTTTTTCTTGGTTAATTCCTAGACTTGTTTTAGTGTTTGTCAATAAATACTGGGAGTGGTAACATTTCTTTTATTCTTAGTATTGCTAGTATAGAATAATAATTACTCTTTTTGTCTAGAAGCCCTGCCAACTTTTCAAAACTGAGATGGGGAGGGTGCCTGGGTTATGTAATATAAAATATGGTCACCTAATTTTGTCCCTTCACCATGGCCTGGCACTGGAAAGTTTCCTTAAAAGGTGACATGTGTAGGTAGACATGCTAAAATATGTCTCGTACAATCTTCTTACCCTCTTACTTATAACATCTCAATATAAGCCAGTGTCACAGAATGATTAATTATGATAGGAACGATATGGGGTTAATTTTGATTGGGAAGCTATCATTAAATAGGATTTTAACTCACTCTGTAAGGTTAAGACTTTCATAAGGTGGAACAGTAGGATTTCAGGCTAGGGAAAG